AAAATGAGCTGAACTGATAACTGACTCTGCTGCAGACCAGGTTACGAGTTCACCATAAGTAGGTATAGAGAGCAAACAGAGCTTCCTTTGTAACACTGAAAACTGACTCTTCACTTCTTAGTACACCTGTCTGGGAAGTAAGAGGTGAGCATCACAGTAAATAGCAGCTGAGCCTCCACCATTTCTGAGAGTGACCACCAACCACTGTACCCGAGCTATATCTTGGGGGAACAGATACTTTCCATCCTGAGAGGGGTGAGGGTGAAGCTGCCAAAAGCAGTGAGCCACACAGAGAACATTTAAAGGCACGGTGGTTATAGTGTCTAATGGAGATCACTGTGAGCCAGAGTAACTGGGTGCACCAGTGTGACACAGGTACATGCACTCTGGGTCAATCAGGATGCGTGTATGTGCTATAGTAACCAGGCATGATTGTGCGTATTACACAGGTTCTATGTAGAAGAACCAAAGCTTAGAGTCAGCTTTCAGACTCTTTAAATTATAGGATGTCCGAATAAAACAAAGATGTATAAAGAATAATATATAAATATCTCTTTATAGGCTACGACACTAAAGGTTTAAAGTGTGTAGATGGAAAAAAACAAAACAGTAAATCTTACAACTTTAAGAATGAAAAAAGTGACATTGTGGTACAAGTGGTAAAACACTGATGATTTTAGATATGTTGAGTATTTTACTGGGGAGGCACATTCCCCCTGACGGTTTGGTAAAATCTCCAGGGCATTGTGTTGTAAACTTACAGTAGCTCCTGCCTCCTTATAAGGATAAAAACATCACAGCGAGGAGATCAGAGCACTCTCTGCTGTAGCTGTGACCATGAAGTTTGTACCTGCAGCTCAGTGTGACTCCCTACACACAGCTGTAGCTACAAACTTTACATACAGTAACTGAAAAGACTGTAAATATAGAATAAATACCATTCTTATCAATATTATTTGTCCCCTTATTGGCTTTTGGTCTGCAACAGTCAAACCAAATTGTAAAAGAAAATAAAAACCGCAACCAATCAGAAACAGTTTGCTTACATCCCCCCTACATTGTGCTACACTCTAAAAACCTGCTTCCAGCATCAGATGTTGATGAGCAACAACATGTTCTGACAGCATGAAGAAAGGAAAACAACAGAAGTGTGGACAGTGGTCACTGTGTGAGTTACTCTAAGAGAAGACAAAAGGGTCTAGCAGCATCAGTGGTTGTGCTTGTCGCCTTCAGTGGATGGCGCCTCCTTCAGGAAGGGATTGAAGGAGGAGCGGACGGCACGGCCCCGGAGAGGCTGCTGCACACGGAAGTTGTTCACCATGCTCTTCTGCATATCCTCCTCGGCTGAGGTGAAAAGAAGGCTCCGGAAGACAGCCAACTATAGGGCAAGAGAGTCAGCGGTAGACAGCAGAGATTTGTATCAAACTTCTTCAAAAGATAATATCTTTAGTTTCTGGGTAATTTCAACAAACTGGGAATCCTGAAGCTGAAATGTTGCTGTGCTGGTTTTTATGGGTGTGGGTGAAAATAAACACACCTTCACATAAACCTCAACTGTCATCGGAAACCACTACTGAAAGTTACCTTGAAAGAACAGTTGTTCCCAAAACACAACAGCACATATCCAAAGGTTGGTGTGCAACTCAACTTAAAGTTGCACCAGTGATTCGTGCCCACCATGGGGCAGCAATAACTCTCATACAGCCATTTTCCACTAGTACCTGCTCGGGTCAGCTTGACTTATCTTAGTTTTTAGGGTTTCCCATTAGGTGGTATGTACTTTTTTAGTACCTGCTCGGCTGGGATTCCAATCGATCTGAGATGATCTGAAAATATGACATCAAGAGACTGCATGCCACCGATTGGCTAGTCAGTGGCATCATGAATCATTAGAGCATCTCACTCACAAAAATCAAAAACCTGGCAACGAGGCAGGTATGCAGCAGGTATGCCATTGCCTCAACGTCCTCCACTGTTGTGGTGTTAGTGTTGCATACAAATGACAGGACGTTTGGCCACAATGTTGTTATAACAACCTCAGACTCTATTGTAATGCCAAACATCCCAAACTGAGCCATGTTGAGTTGGCTGAGTAGGTACTAGTGGAAAAGGGTTAATAGTAGTCATGGATAGCACGTTAGCAACCAGTTCTACACATTTGGAACAGTGCTTATCCTCAATTTTGATCCCAACCCACTCAAACATGTGTTAATACAGTTTTCATTTACATCTCTGCCCTTATTTGTCTGTATTTGGTCTTAGGATGGACCACATCCTAAGATGTTAAACCTTTTAACATCTTAGGATTTTAACAGAGGAAGGTTTAACAGAGGAAGAAGGATTGAAAAAAAGAAAACAGACACCACCAATCACACTGCACATGAAACGTCGACCCATTGTTAACATTCTTTACTTTTTTGTGTTGTGATTCTTAAAAACATCGTTCTTACCTGCTCATGGCTGACTTCTATGTGCTGTTTCATAATCATCCAGGTAACAGACTCTGTCAGAGGAGGCGTGGACAGAGAGCCGTGGTACGTCCAGTAGTCATCTGTGTTGGTGGGCAACAGACAGCCAGGGTCGAACCGGTTAAACTCTACTACACTGTTCTGCAGAAGACCAAAGAAACAAATATTCAGTTAAAGCTTGTGGACTTTGCATGATTCACACTTCAAACTGATCCTTAGTTCTGCCTGAAACAAGCCGTTTTAGCTCCTCTCCCTGTGAGTCAACATTTTTCTGGGTACGTCTCAAGTTCACAGCTTCCACTCACAGCCGTGTTGATATTAGCATCCGCAAGTGTAACAGTACAAGTATATTACAGAAAATACACAACAGCAGACTGGATGCACTCTGTGGAAAATTGTAAAATATTTAAAATCATTAAATGTTGACTATAATATAAATATATTTAAAATTTGTTTGGTATGTGTTACACAACATCTGTTATTTAGCACACACTTCTTATTATATTGTTGAACCAACATTCATATCAGACCTTATTAGTGATAAGCTGTGAATTAGTAGTGATAAAAAACAAGGGGAAAATACAATCTGCAGTGAGTCACCTTCAAAAACTACAAGCAACAGTGTAAAGGAAATATAATCATATCTCAGGACAGGTCTGTAATGACAGATCAACATGTTAAAATCAAGGGAAAAACTATATCACACCACCACCACCACCATTAGCAGCTTGAACTGTTAACACCACGCATTGTGGACCACGGATTCGTCTCATTATCACCAAATTCTGACTTGACAATCTGATGTGGGAGCAGAAATCATGATCTGTCAGGACAGTCTGTCGTCGTTTCAAGATGAAAACTGTCTAGGTGTGGTAAATGTGTGCCCAATATAGTCTTGGTTTCCTGCTCTAAGTTAATAGAGTACAGAGTGCTGATGCAACCGCCCGCTTTTGCACGCCACCCTCTACAGCTTTCCAACCACAGAACTGTCGTTTATTGAGTGTTTGTAATTTTCTGCTACACTCTCTGAACTAGACTGTTGTTCGTGGAAAAAAAGCAGACCAGAAAAAGCATCTCACCAATAATCAATAATTTCTGCACCAATAATCAATCCAAGGTTAAAAGCACTAAGCTCTTTTGCTTCCTCCCTGTTGTTTCTTGCCTGCATTCTTTTCATATAGCGAGCTGCTCACATATGCTACATTTATTAATGCACAGAGCTAGTGTAATTTACCTCATCTTCAGGTCCTTGGATGCAGTGAATACACAGCTACTGATTCAGTTTGACTTCAGTTCTTTTGACTACTTGGTGAAAAAAAAAAATGAAATTCTCTGTGTGAAAGAAAGCCTGAAGCACTAGAGGGCATCACCTCCCTATAAACTGACAGGTACAGAATTGTTGGTCTGTGATGCTCTTTGTCAAAGGTAAATACACTTTCTCATTAAAGCAGAGAAAAAACACAACAGGTATACACACATATGTGTGTGTGACTAACCTTGTGTCTGATTGCAGGCAGAGCGTCCACCAGTTTCTGCAGCCCCTCGTGTCTCTTTCCCACCTATGCAAAGATTAGACCATAATCTGGATTATCGTCACTCACAAATCAGCTGGACGGCTGTTACCATTCTCTCACATAAACACACTGCTGAACGCAAATCAAAAGTAACCCAAAACATATGATTTTGGTCATTGTTTAAGGACTTGAAAGACAGTGTGTGATGTACCTTCAGAAAAACTCCAATAACCGCCAGCCCGTTATCCTCCATCACTGCCTCCTCAAACAGACTGTACTTGTCAGAGTTCCAGTGGACCAAGTGGAGCTAAAGCAGCATACAAAGCAAAGACATGAGTTTGTCTGTATGTGACCCAAACTGTAACAGCTATAATCTTTGTTTTCCTGTTAAATCCTTCCTGCCTTCTTACATTTTTATTTGACCTAGTGTAAAAATTACAGCTTTATTAATTGTATTAAAATATGACACAAAGATCCCATGAAGCTGTGACTCATAACTGCAACTTGATGCTCTGCGCGCGCACACGCACACAGTCACTGGAGCTTCTTACATAAGTGTGCGTGAATGTAATGGAACAACATGAAAATAGATGTTCTATATACAGGACAAATGTACGAGTCTGTAAACTCAGCTGCTGACAGACAAACACACACTTTGAGGTTTGAGTCCGAACTTGGCGATATAAAAAGAATTAGAGAAACACAGCTGGATGAAAGAACCACAGTTGTATGGCTTAAACAATGTAACCAGTTTTGCACAACGCTTAAACATTTGAAGAACAAACAATTCGAACAGGGTACATGAGTACATATAAAAGGACCACAAACTAAGGCAATATTTGCGCTGTTTCAACAGCACACTGTTGTTTTTTCCATTACTCCTCTCTGTTAACCTTAAGAACTAAAAACTGACTTATACTGAAGGATATTACATGTAAGATTACAAATAGTAAGCATAAAATACCTGCATGACTAATCTCAGTTTTAGCTATGGGCAGTTGGAATTGTTACAAATATGTTTTTTAAAAATACTTTTCCGTTAAATCTACGTTCTAGTTACATCGTAAGCACAAAACCCTCTGAAAACCTGCAATGTGGCCTACCCTAACCCAACACGCACTTCCCCTGGAAATACAACGACACGTCCTGCAGCTATCGGGCCTGTGCAGTACTGCCAATGTCTGATGCATTTACAGATACGTTTTTCACAGTTTTTCAATCAAAAAAGAAAAAAAAAATCATAATAATTATCACCTCAATGTAAGGACAAACAAATGTTAGGTACTTGTGGGAACTATTAATGTCAGGAAACATATGAAACGGAAAAACCTGTGGGACAAATATGTTCATCACCAAAAGTTAAAAAATAAAATAAACTGAGCAAACAAAGAATGAGGACCCAGGAGGGGAACAAAGTCCCAGGTTTAAATTTGTTTCCCCCATGGGAAGCACCACATAACAAAGAAACACGAGCACAAGATAGCTGACAACATGTAAAAGTAGATTACGTCGTAGGCATGAATCTTCCAAAGTTTTATTGCAGAAGTTTAAATGAGCTGTTCCACTGTCCACCTTTTAACAAGTGTCAGAGGTACAGACCCACAGACGCTCAGACTAAGAGGACCACCGTGACACTCAGGTGTGCAGACAACTGCTAACTCAGAGCATGACAACAGGAAAAAAAATTACATTTAGACCCAAGAAAAACCTGCAAGGGTTTAGTTGAAAATCGTTATTTTACTCGGGGAAAAAATGTCAGAGACTTCATCTTAGTCGCATCTTTTCTTATTGGCCACATGCCACTGCGAGGAGGCTTGTTTCTCTGTTTGTGTGTGTTGTATTAGCTATTAAACATGTGGGTTGAGCTTTAGTTATAACATTCTTGTGTACTACACTGAGAGGAATGCACTGAATGAGCAGCCTAACAACCTGAAAATAAACTGTACCTCTAATGAGCAACTCCACTTGTCTCTGAAAGGATACATTTACATTTAAACTGAGTGATTGCATTTTGTTTAAAGGAACATGAATTTTACAGGTTGGTGTCAATGTAAGAGCCTTAGGAGCATCCATTGTAGTTATAAAAAGTATTTTGCCGCTTACAAATAAACCTGGTCAGCTTTTTTTTCAGATTCTGTGAGAAATCTACATCATAACTTACGACTCCCCCATGCCGTCAGAGATGGAGGCTTTGGAACCAAGGACTGATAACAGGCAGGATAGTCCTTCTCCTCTTTAGAAACAAATTTTCCAGACCTTTAAAGACAGTTTATTACGAGACATGTTCATTGAGTCATTGGTTTCAAAATGTCTTCCCCTAACGCTTCGACAAGCGACCATCTCACTCCTATTGAAGCCAAATAAGGATCCATTAGAGTGTACATCATATCGTCCTATATCACTCTTAAATGTAGATTTTAAAATACTGTCAAAAACACTTGCTCTCAGGCTAGAGAAATATCTACCATTGTTAATTTCTCCAGATGAGACAGGTTTTGTGAAGGGTAGGCATGGTTTTTTCAACCTGCGCAGGTTTTTAAACATATTACACACCAAGTCAACTACAACCCCTGAAATTGCCTTATTACTCGATGCTGAGAAGGCATTTGACCGGGTGGAGTGGGATTATCTGTTTTATACTCTACATAAATTTGGATTTGGCCCTAATTTCATTTCATGGATTCAGTTACTTTACTCCTCACCTATGGCACGTGTTAGAACAAATGCGTTATTCTCTTCTTATTTCCCACTTCTCCGTGGTACGAGACAAGGTTGTCCCTTATCCCCTCTTCTTTTTGCATTATCAATTGAACCACTGGCAATTAAACTGCGAGCTGACAGTTGCATTAAGAGCATCTTCAAAGGTGACCAGGAGCACAAAATATCCTTATATGCTGACGACCTCCTGCTGTATATGTCAGAGCCTTTATGCTCTCTTCCCTGTGCTCTTGCCATTTTTGAATGTTTTAGTAATATTTCAGGTTACAAGTTGAACCTGCATAAAAGTGAACTTCTCTGTATCAACTCTATAGCCAGAAAGATTTCATTTTCAGATTTTCAATTTAACGTTAAATCAGGGTATGTGACCTATCTGGGGGTTAAGGTTACCCACTCATACAAAGATCTTTATGAAAGAAACTTTGTCCCGCTGCTTATAAATACTGAGACAGATCTTCAGAGATGGAACAATTTACCACTGTCATTAATTGGCCGCATCAATTCTATCAAAATGAACATACTACCCAAGTTCCTTTATTTATTTCAATGTATCCCATGCTACTTACCCAATAAGAATTTTATAACACTGAATAAGCGTATCTCTGCATTTATTTGGAATGGCAAAAGTCCACGAATTCGTAAAGATTTCATGCAGAGGACTAGGCCATTGGGTGGATTAGCCTTGCCAAACTTTCAGTCTTATTATTGGGCAGCAAATATTCGTAATATGCTGTACTGGATGAGTAATGTTACTACAGAGACTCCAGCTTGGCTCCAAATTGAGTCATCCAATTGTGGCAAAATTTGCCTATCAGCTTTGTTGAGTTCAGCTCTCCCATTAGAA